CAGCCATGAAATTGGCATCCTCTCGCTCGTCTGCGCCGCCTTCGGAAACTCGCCATGCAATAATCTCGAATTTTAAACGAATACACGAATCGTAAGCTCTTTGCACGACGTTTCCGCATACTGGCGACCACTGGAGCAAGACTCCGTCGCGAATATTTCACTACATTTCCATTTCGTTCATTTTCCATTCGATGTAATTGTACTAATACTCGATAGTGAACCAGTAATGGACAATTTTCACTTTGACACTGAGCGTTCGATGCGAGGAAAATCAGACCTGATCTTCGCTATTCCCTCAGAGACAAATGTGGGCGACGCAGGGGCCTACGACGAGGGGAGTTTCCTCGTTTAATTTTTTTTAGGCATGGGGGAGTACACCCAGAACAATCTCCTAAAGTAGCGAGCATCGCTTCTCTTTCGTTTTCGAGGAATAAATTCCTAAAATTGCGAGAATTCCACTTTGCTGGCCTCGTTCCCCGGACTGGAGTCCAGAGTCGTAACTCTACTACGAGATTGCCAAGTTACACGAGTCATGAATCTTGCAAACCTCCCCAAAAGCAATAATTCTTGAAGCTGACGAAATATAACGGCAACGGTCCTTTGGAATAAAACAGAGTTCTTTCTCGATAATGCAGCGCGTTCCATCGATAATGCAACGCAGAGCCTGCATTTATCAACAAAGTCCCCTGCAATACCTTGTCCCATCAACCGAGTGTCCTGCATTACCGACTCATCAATAAATCCCCTCGTAAGTGTACTTACCATTCACCTGCCTGAACACCTCGATCGCTCCAAGAATTCCGGTCCCTATTTCCTGCGATAACCGAGGTCCTCATTTTTACAAAACAACTCACAAATTAGAGATCTTCCGCCACCCGTCCACGTGATTTCCCAGTCTCTGTTGTGTCACGTGCATTTTCGATTCGGCGGAATGCGACGTTGAAGAGCGTAGGTCGTTCCGGTAGGTCGGTTTTATGAATAATGTAAGAACGGAATGCTAATTGGAATGCTTTCGAGCGGTTCGTTAACGAATCTCGCGAGGCTGCCGGTGCTAACGATTCCGATGAATCACGGCCGGATCGCGTCGGCTGAAAGCCAGGGCAAGAAAGGGAAAGCCCTGGTTTGTTGCACGGACGCGGAGGGATGACGTAAAGGAACTGTGTCGATTGTTGGATTAATCCTTCGACGATATTTCACGAGCCGCAAAGCCTGCGTGCTTGGCTTCCGCACGTTGCTCGAAAGCCTAATGGAAGAGGCGGGAAGAGCGCGAAATGGGTCAATTTTTGCAGTTTTAATGCCGTTTAGTGTGTTGATATGTCCTTAAAACTGATCTTTTTCGAGTTGTTTTATGAGTTGGTAGAGTAGATTGGTTTATTGGTAATGCAGGGGAATCTGTTGATAAAGTAGATTGCCTTATTGGTAGTGCAGGGCACTCTGTTGATAAATGGAGGTTCTACATTGCCGAGACTTACCGACAGAATGCACTACGTTATCGAGAGAGATCTCTGGCATACCCTAGAAGCCTACATCATTCCTTTTTACTCTTAAATACATCTAGATTGATATTCTCCTTTGAGTTAACCTTTTAATGTACGTGTAACGTTCTCGAAACTTCAGGAGTCCTTTCCGATATCATTTTCTCACGCCAATAGTGTCATAGTTTCGAGACCTCTGCGTGTCTACGATCGCATCGATAGTTCGCAGTGGTTTGCGTAATTTCGCCAACGACGGCGTCTCTTCACCTTCAACCCGGCGCGAGAAATAATCTTAATCTTGGTGCAAACGAATCCGAGAAACGAATTATCATGCCGGGAGCGTAGAGTCGAAATAAAGGTCTCCCGGCGACCGGGCACGAATTATTTATGCTTTAAATTGAGCAGCTAAATGACGCCACTTCCGCGCGCGTGACATCATATCGCTGTCGCTCAATGTCGACGTTTGTTTGCGGCCGAATCCACGCGAAATAATCGTTCGTCGCTAAAGTACGTGTCGGAAGCCGAGAACGGTTCTTAACGAGCGGCAATTAGCTTCCTCCGACTCCGCTGAAAGAGAAATTCAACGAAATTTGATCGGTAGCCGTAAATAACTCGTTAAATAAATATGAAATTAACGTTCTTCTTTAGCAAATATACATTCGAAAGGGTAGGTATATGGTACGCAGGGTGTTTCAAAAATAAATAAGTGAAAATATATTGTTTAATAATTGTATTTCGTCTGGTGGCACTTATGGTCTAAGTAAACTAATGAGCAAAACAATTGCTGGGAAAGCTCGAAGGTCGTCCCGCGGAACAACGGCATTATGGCTCGTCGCGACACGAATCGGGCTACGCAGAAAATAGTTTATCAGAAATGGTTTGGAATAGGCAGAATGACTCCCTCGCAGTGTGACGCTCGTTTCCCGTATTTGTTCCGTAACTTCTCCGAACGAGCAACCTTGCCCAGCATCTGCATCCAATACTGGCGGTATACGTTACCGTAATTTAAATCGACGTACACATTATGCGGGATTGAGGTCGTCATCGAATTTCGATAATTGATCTTTCGTCTTTTAATTTCGATTTTCTCGTCTTTCCATTCTGTGCTACGTATTTCTACCAACGGTATTAATAAAATGTGCGTTTCGAAGTTGAGTAGATCGTTGTATTATTTAGACAGTGACGCTGTAGGTAATATTTACTTTGGTAAAGAAATTTTTGAGATGAAAGTTTCGAATCATCCCCACTTTCGCGTTCTTTTAAGTAACGAGTTTAATATGGGAGACAGTACGACGTGCGTTTGAGAATCCATCGATTGATAATCGCGCTATTTAACCTAAATTACGCGTCATGTTTTTTCGTATAGATAGAGGAAGTCGAACAGCTCTGTATTCGGAGGTTTTAATCGATATTTATTGCTGTTGTTTTGCTATCGAGCATGTTTATCGCTAGCTAGGCGAATTGTTTCATTCCGTGTCGTTGCGTAAATACTCATCGAAATTCGAGACGGTTTTTAAATTTCGAGCGCGAAGCAGGTCCCTGCAACATCGGCCTGAGATATGGTCGACGTTCATTGGAGCAGTCTCGCAATGACCGAGCGATGTCGCCTTTGGATTAAATCTGCGCGATCGATCGACTGGCGAAGCACTTATTTTAATACAAACTTGGACAAACGAGTACAAGGTGAACACTTCTATTATTTGGATAAATTAATATTTACAGTAGTGTGTTCTTGCAAGGACAGCCATGTTATGGGTTAATGTTTCAAGAATGTTATTCGAGCAGTATTTGAGTTCGAATAGTATTCGGGTGGTATTCAAGTACTACTTGAATACAAACTTCGAATAACGAGTACAAGGTGAACACTTCTATTATTTGGATAAATTAATATTTACAGTAGTGTGTTCTTGCAAGGACTGCCATGTTATGGATTAATGTTTCAAGAATCTTATTCGAGCAGTATTTGAATTCAAATAGTATTCGAGTAGTATTTCGAGTAGTATTTGAATCATATTTGAGCGGTATTCGGGTTAGGTCTGGGTTCAAATTACAGTCGAGCAGTAATCAACTGGTATTCGAATTATATTTAAACAGTATTTGAATTATATTCGAGTAAGTATTTGAACCATATTTGAGTGGCATTCGAATTGCGTTCGGGTTAGGTCTGAATTCCAATTACATTCGAGCAGTATTCAACTGGTATTCGAATTATATTTAAACAGTATTTGAATTATATTCGAGTAGTACTCGAGTAAAGAAGTGGCCGAGTTTTACTCCAAATTTCGAAAAATGTTGTCTCGCGTATCGCGACCCGCGAGGTTTCTCTTCCCTCCTCGAAGGCACGAGCACAGTCTCGTGTCTTTTTCTTTCGAGAAATGTTTCCCAGATGACAGATACGTAACAGCGTATCGTGCTCCTGGATATAACGTCATCCACTTTTTCGTCGCGCGAACGAGTAACTAACGGGCACCGCGAGCAAAAACCCACCCGAGGCTTGATGGCTAGATTCTAAACGGCGTTCCTCTTCCCTCCGACCTGTAACATAATCTATCAATCAACGTCTACTAGATACAGCCTTACGGTACAAAAGTAACATCGCCACCCGTAAAAAGATCGCAAATAGCGCGATATACATCGCCGAATCGTTTTTAAACCAATTAGAATTCCAACCTCTTTAACGTTTTAATTGGTTGGAGCACAAAAGTAGTGCACCCGAATGCATTCGATCTAATATTGTAGTATAGAAAGCTCTGACAACACAATAAGAAGTGTTTTTATTTGGTAGGGCCTTGAGTTCGAATCCCCCGTGCCTCATTTTCCATAAGATTCGTACGATAATTTATTTTTATTTTTATTTTTTTTTGGTTACTGTATTTGATATCAAAAACATATTGCTCCTAAGTAAAGTATTATTATTATTAATAATAGGAATGTTCTGTAGTTACAACGAGTAAAACATATTTCCAAAAATTCAAAATAGGTTTGCACACAGACAAAAGTAGTAAAGTCTCCACCTACGTTTCACAAAGAACATCAAGTAGAATATGTTAAGGGGTTAGTCGCAGTCAGGAAGAGGAAAAACGACATTTCTTTGTGATTTTTTTTAGTTATTAAATAATAATTTGCATAAGTAACAATTAACTATATTATAAACCATGTTTTAAAGAACTAAAAAACATGTTTTGTTTTAAGAAACGTTTAATTTATATCGTCGATAACAGCCGATGATATAGACGATGATTTAAAAACATTAGTTTGCGGTGAGCAAGATTTCTCTACACTGGTTTACCTGAAAACAAAAACAAAGGTAGATTTCGAAAATAGATTAGTCTAGCGAGTCCCTGAACGAAGGATTTTGGAAAGAATTAATTTAAAACAAGATGACGTACATTTGAAGTCGATTTTAAATATTTTCACTAAAACTAAGCGATTCGATACAGGATAAAAAAAAAAGTATACAAGAAAATAAAAAATCCTCCGATCAGGATCCCGTTAGTCTAATATATTTTCTAAATCTACCTTTAGTTTTGTTTTCAGGTGCACCAGTTTGAAGAAATCTTGCTCACCGCAAACCAACTGGCTACCCACGCCATCGCCTGTTACGACGAAATGAATTAACCTTTTTTTAAAACAAAAATTCTTTTATAGTTCTTTAAGACACGCTTTGTAATATATTTACGTTTCATTAATAAAAATTATTATTTAATACCATAAAAAAAAACACACAAGAAACTATCCGTATCCATTTTCCTGACTGCGATTAACCCCTTAAGAGATACTTGCGAAGACATCACCTAGAATACACAAGTATCACAAATCTAGGTACCTAGATACCTGTATTTCCAAGCTAGACCCGCGTTGAACGTCGTTGAAGCGAACTGGGGGTCTCAGGAGCAATCGCCTCGCGCAAGGCCGACGTAAAAGCTCTAATTCAATTTAATCTACCGCTACACCGTTAAGCGGTTAGCGGCGTGTGTCACAATTGTTCAGCACTGGTTCGCGATATAGCGGTGAGTCACCCGAACCCGAAGGTTTCCCGTTCTACCGGTGAACGCTGGACCCTGCACCGTTGCTTGGAGTTCTGTCGAAACGCAGACCTTCGCGTAAATCGGGCTTATCGAATCGCGTGACCCTCCGCGCGGCCGCCATTACTCTTTGCTGCACGGTAGCCAGCTTGCGTCAACACCTAGGAAATGTCCATTTGCGAACAGTGGTTGACGTTGGTCGACGTTGGTTGACGTCCACTTGCTTCGACTTGCTCTAGATAGTTCTGGAAAATTCAGAGCAACCGTAAAAGCGGAGTTTCTGGTTACAGGTTTGCAAGCATCGAGAGTAGAGACCATCTTGTTCAAGCCCTGTTGGTCTTCGATAGCCACTTGCCTCGATAGTTTAAGCATTGTTTAATAGCTTAAGCATTTGTTTTGCAATATCTATAGATGCTTCATATGTGATTTCGCCACGCTGCACCATGCCGGTGTGTTTTAGCGCCTGCTACTGGATTCGTCTGTAAGAATTACCTAGCAGGCTCGTGCCTTAGCTTTTGTTTGTCCTTTTTTCCGTTGGTTTCTGTTGCGTGATGCTGCGGTACCTGGAGAGATTACCCTTATACCCCGCTTTTGTGTGTCTTTCTTGTGATGAGTAAAACCCTAGTCTTCGAATAAATCTGATGTTTGCCGATATGTTTGTCTCGTCTCCTCTTTTGAACATTTTCCAATGGTCCTTGACGTGTAGTGTCTTAGTCGCTGGGCTTATATGCAAATGTTAGCCGGACCGATTATTTGCGAGAAACGATTACGCGCCGTGTCCCTTTAGTGGCGAGGTCAGGAGGTGGCATCACGTACACGAGTAAAATTTGTTAGACTTACGATGTCTCCTCGTACGGGACATCCGAGTACAGTTAACTCCATTCTTCTAAAACAAGCGATCGGAATACCTGTCTTTGATGAACCGCAGGGTATAGCGCCGCGAAATAAATAAAAAACGAGGTTAATCAGGCGCACACAGTGCCCACATGTTCCTCGTATTCAAGGGCGGTGCCTCGCGAGCAACAGTTTTAAGGCGACGCTCACACGTTTCTCTGATAATTAATGACCGCGCGAATAAATACCAGGCCAGTCCGATAGCGACATAATTTGCAATCGACCCCGAACTCGTGTCCGTCGATCTGCGTATTGATGTATCAGATTTATCTGTGGGGGATAGACCTTGACAATTGTCCAAGATGTAGGCAACATCGTTGACTAGTAGATTAGAAAATGGAGGCCCCTGAGGCCCATCTCAATCGATGGGACTATTTATGTATTCAGTTAGGCCGAACGCACACGGGCGCAACCGATTTGAAATTAGTGTTGCAAACCGTTTGCGCTCTTTGTTTTACCTACTCCATTATCTTTGTTTTACCTAGATCCACGGTCGCATGCAACTAGTTTCAGAGTGATTTGAAACTGATCAGTTGCGCCCGTTTGCGATCGACCTTATCTTTTAAAGATTCTTGTTCTATTCAATTTCGATCAACGACCAGAGATGGGCAAAACCCTAGACTTCGAATAAATCTGAAGTTTGTCGATATGTTTGTCTCGTTTCCTCCTCGTTTTCCTTTGGAAAATTTTCAAAAGAGGAAAGGAGATAGACACATATCAGCAAACTTGAGATTTATTCGAAGCCTAGGGTTTTGCCCATCACTGCCAACGACCTTAGAGAAACTCGCCCCTACTTTACGACTCAAAAATTCAATCAGTCCACCACTAGAACGCCCTGTACTCCTCATGCAAATTAATTTCTTAAGTACTTGCCCAAATACTGTTCTCTCCGTGACACAGATAATCGAAGAGCAAACGTTCGATTCGATGGATACCCTCGGTCTCACCATTTCGGGCAAAAAGGTCGGTACGCGCGTAAGGCCCCGTTCACCGCGCGGTTAGAGCCTCCCGGCGCGAAATGGCGGGGGCGTTGTGTCAGGACCTTGTCGCAACCCACACGCAGGGCTGTACCTCCAGGTTCCAACGAAGACTCCTCGTCCCGGCACGTATCCTTCTCGCGGGAAATATTTCCCAACGTCCAACTCGCTCGCGGACGTCTCGCGGCTCGGAACGTCTTCGTGTTGCGTGTCTCTTCTTGGATGCGTTCATTTTCTCTGGTACACTCACCCACGTGGTGTCGCGGTATAAATGCGAGATAGGATCGTTTAGGATCGCGAGGATATTTATTATTGCTGCGTGGTTGGCTCCTCCGTGCGAGGTGGCACGAGTGCGACCACGAGCCTTCCATCGAGGCGGAGATTTAAATGTTTCGCATGTTTTTAGCGTTGCGGGCCTTCGAGGGTTTATATCCACGACGTTCAGGACAGAAGTTACTTGTAGAATTTAATATTAGAATTTAATTAATTGGATAATAGCGTCTTAGATCCTGGATTCAAAGAAAGTCTGACATTTTTATTCCTGATATTTCGCTAAATAAAACACGCAGGTGTTAAGTCTTCCATTGAGGTAATACATTTAAGAAACGAAATCTAGATACATGCGTTTTACCAAAAAGGTGCGAGAGATGCAGTCTGCTCGAGTTTACGATTCTCCGACGACTGAACGATGTACACAGTCGTTCCGTTGTTTCCCTGCAGTTCCCTTTGTAGGAATTCTTCGACATTCGCTTTCAGCCCGACGATAATTCTGCCGAACTCGGCTATTTCGGATCGCTATTGATCGGAAGGCCTCGAACCAGAGAAAATTAAACTTTCGAGTTATTAACGGTTTTTTTTTCCGCAAAATCGTGATTTCTTCAGGCAATTTTTACTCAGCATTTTACTCCCAAAAGTTTCTTTCGTGACTTGCACTCATTTATTTTGTGTGGCAGTGTTTATATAAATAGACGTACCGACTTCATAAACGTTAATGTTGTAACAGTAATGGACCAAAATGGATTAGACATAAAGTATTGTGTATGTATTATTTATTAATGAAATTGAGGAAACTTTTGGGACAACCTGATACAATAATTATTGAAAAATTAATCGAGGAGATAGTGGTTTGCCACTGCTCGACCTAACGTCGATGTAATTATCGATCCCCGTGAATCCGCGTTCGACCGACTTTTTCGAAGGATCTCGTAGGAGGGAACGAGAGATGAAGAGAGAAGGAGCGTTTCCGTCGACCATCGAAGAAGATGCAATAAGCGACGGCCTTGATTTCTCGTTTGTGCGTACGGAAAGATCGTGAAATCGATCGCGCGCAGACTTTAGCCTACATAACCAACTTCGATATGCTTCTTCTCCTCTCTTCGCGTCGGGCTTCCTTCCCTCGTTCTCTTTCCTCCTGGAGTCTCAATGCCACACTTTTACCTCGGTTGGACGATCGCTGAAACGGAATAATTCAACGGGCACCTGAAATCTTCCAATTTCTTCCAAGGCAAACACTGCGCAACTTTGACAATTTTTAAAAATTAAGATCACGTTCAAATTCAAACATTGAGAATTCTCCTTTAACTCTTTCGAGGCACTTTTTTATGGTATCTACCAGAAACTCGAGATGCTTTCTTTGCATTCTATTGTTTCGAATGCTAAGCTTAGATTGACTTCGAGAATAAGATCACTAATTAGAGATTGACAGTTTAGCTTTACGAAGCCTTTGCTTTACGTAGCTTTCGTTTTACGTAGCTTTCGCTTTATATAGTTTTCGCTGTAGGTAGTTTTCGCTTTACTCTCCCTCGCTTTACGTACTTTTCGTTTTACTCACTTTCGCTTCGAGTTCCGTACAAATTAAACCTAAAGAAACATTATTGCTAGTTAATTCATTGCGTCAAACCTCTTGGTGACTGAGAGTTACCTCCCCAACGGAAAGAGTGAAAATTACGCTTTAAAAAACCTACAGAAAAATATTCAACGCCGAAAATCAACTTTACCCTACTCCGATCCCATATGAATCTCTCGCGATTCCCTTTCCTCGATCCTGGTCGCCACTTACGCAAGCCCCGGCGGAAGTGGATTGTCCACGATTTCTGTCGGCGACAGGACTAAATCTGGGCCGTTTTTTTGTTCGCGAGCAAGAAACGTTATGTCGCGGTTTTATCCCGCGCGGCGGCAGTTCCGCTTTCGCGTTCGCCGCAACAGGTCGCGCAGTTCTCTCGCGGTTAGAAATTCATCTGGCAATTAGCGGCGAGCGGAGCGAAAAGCGGAACTTAATTGCGAGCGTTTACAAAGCGGGGGGACCCACTCTAAAGAGTCGCGTACTTGGAAGCGAGGCGACCTCACTGCTTATGGATATACGACCGACGATCCTCCAGGCCGGCGACGCTGGAATGGGATAAATGGGGCGCCACGGTCTCGATGCGGCCCTGAACGTCACAGGAAACGGGGTGCAGCCTCCTGGTGAGGCCACCTGCTCGCAAGGGGCTTCAGGAAGTGGTTCCATGCGAAATCTGGGCCTTGGATTCATTGTGGATTTTTCTGTGCTAGGAGTATGGTGCTTCGAGTTGTTTCGCTTTGGGTACATTCTGCCTTATGTAGCTTAGCTTTGCGTAGATTCTGATGCACGTAGCTAAGCTTTGCGTAGTTTAACTTTACAGAGCCTTTGCTTTACAGAGTTTTCGCTTCACGTAGTTTTCGCTTTACTCACCCTCGCTTTAGGTAGTTTTCGCTTTACGTAGTTTTCGATTTACTCACCCTCGCTTTACGTAGTCTTCGCTTTACCCACCCTCGCTTTACGTACTTTTCGCTTTACGTAGCTTTCGTTTCACTCACCCTCGCTTTATTTAGTCTTCGCTTCACTCACCTTCGCTTTAGGTAGTTTTCGCTTTACGTAATCTTCGCTTTACTCACCCGCGCTTTACTTAGTCTTCGCTTCACTCACCCCCGCTTTACGTACTTTTCGCTTAAGGTAGTCTTAAGCTTACGTAGCTTTTGCTTCGCTCACTCTCGTTTTACGCAGTCTTCATTTCATTGACTCTCGCTTTACGTAGTTTCGCTGTAGTTAATCTCTTCACACTCTGTTCCCCGAGTCCGGCCTCCAGGCTGTCAGGAAATTGATCTAAACGAAAGATCGAAAACACGCGAGCACGCGCCAACGCTGCCGTTCGTCCAGCGAGATCGATCGAGATATCAACGTGTCATTCGCGTAAGTCATATCCTGAACAAGAAACGCGAGCTGCGGGCGATTGTTCAGCTGCGTGGCGCAACAGTGCGAGCGCACGCTTAGAGGACGATTAAGGCAGGACTCTGGTTTGTTACGCACGATAAAGTGCGGCATTTTCAGAAACAATGGCGCAAATTCAAATTTAACTTGGCGAAGAAGAAAAATTAAAGGTGTCAAGTATAAATAGAAATTAACAGGACGAAGAAAAACAAATTTTTCTGAACGTCTATAAGCTCTATTACTTTTTAAAATATTATCAATATTATCCCAATTTAAAGTCTTTTCAAACGAAAGCAGTTTAAAATTTGTTTACAGTAAATCGTTCTGATATTTCAAGTCCAAAGATTTTAGGCTACCAGGAAATGCAACCACTAAAAAAAGTCGATGTTTCTTTCAATAAACCAGAGCCTCGACTTGTAACGAGACACAGAAACCCCTCGGAAACGAGCAGCGCTCTGAAATTCGGTCGAAAATTATCCGTCCGTGTCCGATTTACGACGAACTACCACCCACGCGCGATAAATCGCGTCTGTTGTAAATTGTAACTCGGGACGGTAATCGGTGGTAGGTTACGGCGCGATATTTCACCCCATGGATGCCAATGTCCGCATTGTCTTCGACGTAACGAGACGGCCGTCCCGTTTAAGCGGAATTATCCTGTCTCATTACCCAACCATCCGCGTACTTTTCCTATAACGAACCCGCAGTTCGCAAATTGGTAAATGACTCTTCGATTCGTATTGGCGCCAGGACCTTATCCTCCAAAATTCACCCACATATTAACGCTAAACCTATCGACGTCAATTTGTAACTATTTCTATCGTGATGGGATAAAGGACTTGTCCCAAAGACACTTACTACAATTAAATGCAAAAATATTTTACGTGGAATTAAATTGAATAATGCACGATACAATTAACATTAATTCATGTATTGCATATAAGAAGTGTATACAAAATTAAATTGAATAATGCATGAAACAATTGTATAAGATTCATGTATTGCACATAAGAGCTGTATACAAAAATTAGGCCAGTCGTGGTAGGTTTAGCGTCAAGAAACACCCAGTATACAAACTACCAAGTCATCCCGAAAATCATCACGTTCCCAGAACGGACCGACCACGACATCCCACGTGACTTCGTCACCCGTTTCCCCAAAACGTCCATCCACCTTTCCAAAAGGTCCCTCGATTCCTCGAAAACAGATCACGGATCGCGAGGAATCCCAAAATGTCGTCGAATGGGGGATCCCCAGCTCACGTGGTCGGTGGTATCGGTAGGAGGACTCGGTGGAAGCCGGATTAACGGGAGAATCGAGTGGTCCGCCTCACCTCAGGGAGGACCGCAGGAGGACAGCGAAGAAGGAGGCGGTTGTGCCGAGGAACGGAGGGAGGTGGACGTGGAACTTGATGGGAAGGGAGACTGGAGGACGACGGGGGGGAGGGAGTGGAGGAACACGCTCTCCTCCGGTGCACACTCTCGTGGTGACTCCGACCGGCAAAGTGCTCGCGTTCGTGAAAGTCCACAGACGACTTTCAGGGTCGTCTGCTCCGCTCGTCCGCTCCTGCTTCGACTCTCGCGGCGAGAAGGAGCCGCCGAAAACAAGAAACGTCGTCCACGTACGTCGCGTCGCGGTCTCGAACAGTTGGAACCCGGGAAGGTGTCCTCCTGATCGCCCGGAGACACGTCGCGCCTAAACTCCGTCGTTCGTCGCGGAGATCGATGAGACGACGCTCCGTCGCGAGGATTTCTCGTCCACTCGGCGCGGATCACGAGTTCCTTGACCGTCCGATATCGCCGTACGATCGATCCCGCCGTACGATCGTCGCGGCCAGCGAATCTCGCGTGAACTCCCGTTGATATGTGATCGGCCTGTGATTTCTGGTGCGAAGGAAGCTCGAATCCGCGAGAGGATCCCTCGGTGGTCGCGTCGCGAACCGGAATCGCTTGGAGACCAGTAACGGAACATCGAGGAGCTTCCAACGAACCGATCCACCTTTCGGTGATCGTCTTTCATCTTACGGTGTGACGTGACCAAGGCTTCCCTACGAAACTTGTTTTCTAAATAAAATCTAACTCGCGACGATGTCCTCGCGTCTCCGCGTCCCGTCGACGAGGGACGGCGCAAGATTGGTTCACGCCAACGAGCGGTTCCACGACGAGCAAGACGATCAACCGCTGAAACCGAGGACGTGCAAGAACGGCTCGAATCGCTACCACTTCGGGATGACGCGACCACGGGACGAGGAGGTGAGCAGGAACGGTCGCGACCACAGGGACCACTCGGACGAGGACGCTGACGCGTTGTACAAAAAGAGCAGGCAGCACTTCGGCGCCTGGGACTTCAAGGACGTCGTCCTGGAGGAGAGACCCGGCCCGAGGAAGTCGACCGACCGATTCGACGAACCCAGGTTAACGAACGGTCACTCCCGGAACGACCTCGTCCGGCAGGATCAGGAACAATCGCACAGATCCAGGAGGAAGGACTGTCCGCCTTGGGAGGAGTCGAAGGCGTCGAGAAGTCGCGCTAGAAACGAGGAGATCACTCCAGACCATTCGAAGGTGGCGGACGAGAGGGATCTACTTCTAAGGGAGATTGAGAACCTGGCGGTCGAGGGAACGTCGCCCGATCGGAGGATCAGGGCGATGATCGAGAGGTTCAAGACCAGGGAGGAGGACAAGCTCAGGTCCAGAAGGGAGAGGGACTCGCTGAGTCCGGAGAAGGACGGGTGCAGGTCGAAAAGCGTTGGACGAAACGAGTCGCGGCTGGATCACGAGGATCGTGTCAACGACAGGGGATCCAGGACCCAGAAGGACGATCAGCCGGTGAGATCGAAGATAACGGAGCCCGAGCACGAGGAGCCAAGCAGAGGTCGGTCCGTCGATCGCAGGGCTGAGAAGTTCAATGGATTCGGGGACTCGAGGAGGAACGACGGCGTGCCGCGTCACAGGAACGACAGCTCGGAGAAGAGTCGTCGCAGACGATCCAGGGAGCTCGAGGACGACCTGCCGCGCAGGAAAGATAGCCCTAAAAGAAGAAGCTACGCTTACGAGGGGAACCCAGAGGACTTCGACGTGAGAATACAGAGGTACGAGAGAGGCCTTTTGGAACCCAGAAGAGAGTCTCCCAAGCGAGTGTTGTTGAAAGACTCCGACCAAAAGGAGTCCTTCAAGGACTACGATCGACAAGTGACTAGGAAGAGCTCCTTCAAGAAGACCCACAGGGACAGAGAGAGTCCCAGAAGAGAATCTAGCTTGAATAGAAAAGCTTCTCTCAAAACCCCGGAGAACGATCTCCCTAGGAAGAATTCCTTCAAGGACTCCGAGAAGAACTACTTCGGTAAGGATCACGTTTCCAGGAAAAGTTCCTTCAAGGAGCCCGGAATCCCTCCTGGTTACGAATCTCCCAGGAAGAACTCCCAGCAGGGCTCGGATTACGGTCGGATCGCGCCGAAGATGCACGACGAAGAGGAGCAGAAAAATAATTTCAAAGGACACGTCGGTGGAGTGAGCAGAATCACGTTTAAAGAACGCGAGGAAGCCAGGGTCCGCGCGTACAAAGATCAGGAATCTGAAGTCAGAGGCTTCAAAGATCACTCGACCGATCTAGGGCGCAAGAATTCTTTCAAAGAGAAGACCGTCGAGTTCGCCGGCGTCTCTTACGAAAATCAGGACGACGAGGACCGGAGGACCTCGTACAAGGGTCAGGACAAAGCGATCTTCCGGGGTCAGAGACACTCCCCTAACGGTCGATACGTGGAGTTCGGTACGGTGTCCTATCACAACCAGGACGAGGAGGTACTGACGAAGGATCATGATCAGGATCAGGATCACGATTTGGGAAGGAAGAACTCGTTCAAGGATCGAGACTCTCCTTCGAAGAGGAGACCGTCTCTCAGGAGCAAGAGTCACGAGCCCTTCGACAAACGATCTAATAGACACTCCAGACCGCTCACTCCCCCGAAAAAGGACGAGAGTCTCGAGGAACTCGGGGACCGCGAGGACTTTGACTCAAGGTCCTGGCACGAGAGCAACAGACACTTCGCTGTCAAGTATCTCAGGGAGAACGGCAGGTACCGCTCGAACCCCGAAGGTCATTCGGAGATCGAGAGAGATCCCTCTCCGGAGGGCATCGCAGGAGGGCAGGACAGGAAGCACTCCGTGGACGAGGTGTTCATCGACCAAGTCGAGGCGACGAAAAGGGAGCAACGGAACGACTACTCGAACATCGGCTCGTACGGGTTCGTCGTCGAGCACGATCAGACTCGCGAGCGAATTCAGGACACCCTGTACGCGGCCACTCGCGAGAGGAACGGCGCCACGATCATCAGGATCCGCTCGAGTCCCGAGGCGACGGTCGAGAGGCGACGCAGACGTCGTCCGCCGCAGGACGCCCACGCGCCGAGACGCAGGCGTTACGACGACGAAGAGGACGACAGCGAGGACGACGAGGATGACCATCGCAGACGGAGGGCGTCGCGGGGCGACGGTTCAGCGCCGCTAAGAGCTGTCCCTACACCGTCCAGGCGAATCTGGAATTACCGCGAAGGGGTATGGCATTTTCATGAGTCAATCGCGTTCGATCGGTCGTTTATGGTTCAGAAACGGGAGGCGATATTCATAAGTCGCTGGAGGAGATGAGAGATTCTCCGGCGAGAAACGGGTTGTCGAGGCTGATCGGTCGACCCTGTTCGTGTACCGAGCGAGGAATTTTGTTTTTCTAATTTCGCCGCGACACGGCCCTGCTGCTGACGTCGTTGCTTCTGGTGCCTGCCATTGGACGGAACGTGTACGCGTGTTGGTGTGTGCGTGCGTCGGTGGATCGTCGATGAGGTGCGAACGTTTTTCGCCGCGCGATTTGCTCGAGCGCCGATCGGGATCGTTGGTCGGAGTACGCTCTCGTATCGCGATCCTGGACGCGTTGATAAGCGGATCGGCGCGGTTACTCCTCGCTTAATTGTCGCTCGTTCGAGGGCAGACGGAATATATTCATGGTTCTTTACGCATATACGTATCTATCGTAGTGGAACGTTCGGAGAGTTTGTGCATTTACGCGAATGGATTGCGGAGGGGCACGCAAATATCAAATTACAGTATTGTCTCGAAATAAGCAACTCGGTTGCGAACGGCGAGTTGTTTGTTTTGAGGGAGGTGTGCTATTCGGCTTGACTTTCTTCTCGAGCGAGAAAACAGGTTTTTTCGTAGATAATACAGGGGATTTTCGGTGTAGCGGCAAACTATGAATTGATCGCTCGATCACGGGTGTTATTCTTTGGAGAAGGATAGAAGATAACGTGCTTTCTCATTTTAGCACTAGTAAAATCGAATAAATATATATTAGGTTGACCCAAAAGTTTCTTTCGTGAGTTGCATTCAATTATTTTCTATGCCAGTGTTTATATAAATAGACAATCTAATTTCTTAGACATTGATGCTGTAACAGTAATGAAGCGAAATGAATCGTACACAATTCAGCAACGTAACATATAACATAAAATATTGTGTATATATTAATTATTAATAAAATGAAAGAAACTTTCGGGACAACCTAACATATACATATAGGATCTTTATTTTATTAGGAATTGAGAAGGAAAAACAATTGTGTTTCTATGAAAATTAGAGGTTTTATTTCTATAATATTACCCTGATATTTACATTATTTACAATATTTACAACCTACCTGAAAAGTAGCGAAACGACAGTTCAAGTTTTTATATTGTCTAATGTCAATTCCTCTCCTTTCCTTACTTTTAATGAAATTTATGTCTCCTTAACTGCACCTTACTAAAACACGAGTCTTTCTATCTCTAACCTCGTTCAGTCGCGCACCGCAGAGCGCGGCAAAATTCAAGTTTTGGAAAATATATTTTCCTTACATATATAGTGTTTTTCGGAGAATACTCACGCCAGAGAAAGAGAAAACATTATACATCGTCTGTGCTCTTTCCACTAATCTTCTAATCTTCTCGCTTTCACGGGCCTCTCGCTTCTTTTCGGGCCTCTCACTCGACAGGGCGACTTCGAACAAAAAGGTGGGGATAACGAGTTGCTTATCTCGAGGCGGAAAACGGTTGCTTATTTCGAGACAATACTGTATTCGTGGTTCTTTACGTATATACATATCTATCGCAGTGAAACGTTCGGAGATTTTGTGCATTTACGCAAATATCAAATTACTTTGATACTTCAGTTTTTGGTGTTCGCAGCGAGGAGAGGAAAATATGGTGCTTGATTAAATGAGAAAATTTTGTACGCGACATTAGCACGCAATGCTCGGACACGCTCGTCGAACTTCGAAGGTTTCGACCATCACGTATGGAACGAGTGAAAGTAATCGCGGGTCTAATTACTCCGTTATCTTTGTAGGATTATCGAACGAGTAAATGTAGAAAGTTCTTTGATTAAATCCATGGCAGACGAGCGTGACTCTTTTCATTCCAATCCAACCCCATGCGACTTGTTCCGTGTACGGCGCACCGTCGAACGTCGAAGACAATTATGGTACTAGATTTTTCTTACATTAAGCAATTTCATTAATTTCTACTACTATGGTACTAGATTTTTCTTACTTTTATATTTTTAGACGTTGCAAAGTTACACCGCCGGTTCGGTATTGATCGATTCGTGTAACGGCCGGAGCTCTTACAGAATCGGCTTTTGTCTTCTAGCGCTACCACGCATTCTTTTCTGACCACTTGCACAGTACTCTTCCAGGTACTCTTCCAGGTACTCTTCCAGGTACTCTTCCGATATCGAGTAAAGTAAATGCATCGTTACAGAGGGCTCGAAAACGAGACTTTAGAATTCACGACGCTAGCTCGACGCTTGCGTACGCTGCTACCGGTAGTCTAGCAATATTTATTACACAATTCGAGCAGCCAGAAATTCTCTTAAAGTCACTGGACAGATCGGGGTGAAAGCAAACTGACCGGTAGTCGGGTCTGTCAGCGCTCGCTAATCCTTTAATCGACGCGGCCGTTACTTACCTGTTGAACTTTGATTACTTTTTCTTTTCTTTTTTCCGTTTTTACTCGCGCAGAACGCGTGGCGCGAATGCCAACTTTCTCGGCCTGTCGAATCAGCTGAAACTTGAATACATTCGCGATCCCGATATAAATTCTACACAGTCGTTACCTTTTTAGCCTTTTGCGTTCTTTTCATAAAAACTGTCTTCGTTCCTCGAATAATAAATGTTGTTCCATTTATTATCCCTAAGTGTATGTACAGTCAGTCCCATAAGTATTCGTGCCCTCTATATTTATTGCAGAAATTTGCTTAATTTTGAACGAATTCTTCATGTCTCCAAATAAATTTGTAACTGTAAATGTATACACGCGCGAAGTTTATTCGTGTACATATTTATAATGGAAAATTGATTTGGAAACATGAAACCTAAATTAGTTGAATGTTAGTTGAATACTTGATTATTTCAATTCGAGTAGTTGACTATTCAAATACTGTTCAAATAGCTGACTATTCGAAGTTATTAGACCATTCGCATGTTAGTCGAGATCTACATATTAACATTTTTTTTAATAGATTTAGAGGGTACGAATACTTATGCGACTGACCGTGTCTATTATTCATCGAACGAAGATAACCCAGTTTCTTCAAAAACACGAATAAAGTATCCACGTTCGATTATTCTAACAAACGAATCATTTTACCCAGATGACGTCCACCTCTGGCTCCACGTGGAGCAACAGTTCGAACCCACCCTAATTTCGATCATCTCTACCCTCGCTGTCGGTGCAGAGGGTAAACAGTTAGCGGTCTACGTGGACTAACGCAAGTTTTCAGTGTCCTTACGTAATTTCGCCGTCTATTAGCCAACGCGTCATGGAAATGTCAGCGAACCGCCCACAAATGGAATGGTCGCGGCGCGTGTAGGACACGCCACGCAGTCGTGGATCACGTCTCGCCTCGTAAGAAGCGAAAAAAACAAAGCTGCAGCCTTTGTCCTCGGGACAATCGACTGTCATCGGTCGTCGTCGAAGCGGTCCTTCTCGCTGCAGAGGTCTGAAAATAACCAAGTCGACTTCTCGGGACGTTAAAAATCTCGCTGTTACTTTTCCCATCGTCCCAGCGCCGAAACGTTTATTTATCAGACTTCTCTTTACCGGCTTTTCGGTTCGGGCGCGTCAGCCGAAAGTCACGGTCCGCTCGTCGTTGGGAATTTTGTTTTGACGTCCAGTTCGATGGATTTTTATCTGCGTCGGCGTTTTTCCTGACTCCGTCGCGCGTCATGCCTATTATCGTCCCGAGAAACGATCCCACGCGTAATTAAAGTCGAGATCGAAATACCTGTCGACGAGACGAGACGTTCGTCGAGGTGACCGCGGACGTTTTCTGGACGATCGTCGCGGAGGATAAAACGATGTGGGTCCTTTCACTCGTGACTCAGGACGAAAAATATGTTAATTAGACGGCGATCGAGCCAGGTAGATGATTGTTCAGGATTACTATATATAGGCAGCTAGAGACACATCGTCTCGCGTGTTTTCCCATCGCGCTTGTACACCGTCTACTCGATATTTGGCGATGCCGCGGCGAGCAGCGCCCACGTGGGCGGACCCTCCATATATGACGGGCCGGAAGGTTCTTGAACGCATCCAACGCGCCTTCGGGCTTTCCATCCTCGACGCTTCCTTTTATCTCCGCTTCGTAAACGATCCGAACGGGCGCGTTCGGTATCGCGATTAAGAGACGTCAAAATGTCACCGAGTGACCCTCTAATGGGCGGGGGCGTGGGTGGGGGGGGGACGGTTAGAACACTGTAAATTAGACGGGTAAGGAGCTCTTAGGGGTGGTCACGTGGCTATTCGCGACTCGATATCTTGGAAGCTGGTTCGTCAATTTTTAAGTGCTGCGTGGGTGGAATGGAGGGAATAACTTGAACATTTTTATGGAAATTCATTGGGTCTGTTTGAAATTGTTTCATAGCGGAGATTTTTGTTAGAGGATGGACACTTGGTTCTTCAGGTACCGAGAGATCGACTATTTAAATATTGCTCGAGAATTTGACTATTCGAAGGTATTGGACCACTTGACCATGCTAGTAGAATATTAGATTATTTTAATGGTACTTGAATATTCGATTACGCTAGTTTAATTCCAGTAGTAGACTATTGAAATATTGCTCGAGGATTTGACTATTCGAAGCTTTTGGAGCACTTGACTATTCGCTTGCTAGTCGAGTATTATATTATTTTTTAATGGTACCTGAATGTTCGATTACTGGAATTTTATTCGAGTAGTTGACTACTCAAATATTGCTCGAGGACGAAGCTTTTGGAGCACTTGGCCATTCGCATGCTAGTCGAATATTAGATTATTTGAATGGTACCTGAATGTTCGATTCTTGGAATTTTATGCGAGTAGTTGACTATTTAAATATTGCTCGAGGACTTGACTATTCGAAGCTTTTGGAGGACTTGACCATTCGCATACTAGTCGAATACTTGATTATTTCAATGGAATTTGAGTGTTTGACTACTAGAGTTCTATTCGAGTAGTTGACTATTCAAATACTGTTCAATTCCTTGACTAGTCAGAGCCATTAGGGCACGTGACCATTTCCATGTTAGTTGAATACTCGATTATTTGAATGGTATCTAAGCGTTCGATTACTCGAGTTCTATTCGAGTAGTTGACTATTCAAATACTGTTCAAGTAATTGACTATTCGAAGTTATTGGAGCACTTGACCATTCACGTGCATATTTGAATGGTATCTGAATGTTCGACTACTCGAGTTCTATTCAAGTACTTGACTACTCAACTACAGTTCAAGTACTTGACTCAAGTACTTGTGTATTTGAATTCTTGCCTGCTCAAGCACTACTCGAATACGCGATTCTTCCGTATATGGCAACAAACATAACGTATGTTGTTGGAGTAGTAGTCCTAGACGCAACGAGGCGAGCAATTAAAAACTTTTCCCAATTGCCTGGCACACTCACGCTTCGACCTTGTCCCGCTTCGCACGTAATTATGAGCGCGTCACGAGCGCGCGAAAGGATGACGCGCTTTTCCTCGTTTTTTTTTTCTCCTTATAATATTCAGATGCATAATGATTCGCTCGAATTTCGATCGAAACATTCCATATACATCGACTTTCCCAAGCCCAACGTTTCGGTCAATCGACGTTCCGCTCCTAACTGAAAGAACGAGGAGCCCCGTTAGGTCAAATCAAAGATTCATCGAATCCGTCGCCCTCGGCGGCTGACATTTGCGAGGATGGTCCAGACCTTTCACCGTTTTGCAATTAACGCGACCCGATATCGCGTGGAAGACGATTATCCTTATCGAGCGTTGCTCAATCGTAGATCCTAGCTTCGCTAATAAACGCGATTGAAAGATAATCAAATAATTCATTTAGCAGCTACTAAAACTATGCTCGTTTCCCTTGTTTGCAGGGTGTCCTGATCACTGACGTCGAGGAGGGCCAGCCCTGTTTGCAGTGCGGGGAAACGTGCTCAGGATTCTCACCCCACACGTGGAGGTGAGCTTCATTCTACAACATTTATATAAAATTTTACGAGATTATTTTCGTAATCACAGTAGGTCTTCCAATTCCCACGACTCAAATTATGACTTAACGTAGCATTAGTATCAATTAAAGAGACCAACCTCAAAAATTGAAAAATAAAAAAAGGTGTCCACCACTAGGTAGTACAGTAAATCATAATCAAAATCAAAATACAGTAAACTTCTGAGCCCATGTAGCTTAGCTTGGACTCTCAACCACTAGTCTCTAAACTCGTCGGTTACGACAAGACCTAGTCCCCCGAATGAAGCGTCTCTAAATAGTCGAAGAACCGACCTAACTGCTGGTAGATGAAATCGAACACAGAGGGATCCCATATGTAAGCGTAGATCCGCTGTAAATCGATCGAGGAACCGAGGTAGCCGAGTTGTTTCAGTCTTGTTTGGATGGCACCGAGTGGCTTTAGGTGGCATAACTGTGAATCCATCTCTTCGAGGCTATAAATGCACCAGGCGGCACGACACGCTGTCCCAACCTTTCTCCTCGAGGCCGCAGACCGATGCTGGAAGGAGCAACATCCCCTCCTTCTCCTACCGTGCCTCCGCCAATTAATTCGTTATTACCGCATTGCTGGCCCGTAAGTCACGGAGGGTAATTACCCAGCGGTAATTTCACCGCTGCTCAGTTACGCTTCGGAAAATGGATGCTCCGTGCAGCCTTTCTGGCAACAGTTCCAGCACTGTCCAGCCACTTGGTCACGCCGATCGGACACCAATCTTTCGAGAGGAGCGTAACCTCGACGGGGACAAACAAATTTCAGTGGTTTTGAGAGAAGAAGACTATTTTTGAGGGATTTATATCGCGAGAGAGTCAGGGGAGGAGCTACCTAGTCGGTAAGCCAGAGTACTCCATCTACGAGACTCGGTAATGCAGAGTAATAGGTCGATAATGTTGATCTAACGGTAAAGTAGACCGCTCTATTGATAAACCCTCTCTGTCGGTACGTCCAGTGTTGTCGACAGAATGTCGCACAGTCTCCTGCGACACGTACAAACCAATAATCTATCAATACAAGAATCCTGAAGAAGAAATTTGATTACAACGATCGAATTTCGAGAACAACGGCCTTGCAACGCGAGTATTTAGAGTTCATTCTCTCCGAGAACAGATTAAATTTTCTTTTTCACGGCGTCGCGCTTCTGCGTGCCCGCTAATCAAAGGCCAGAAAATTACGCGTTTCCTGTCCTTCGAGCTAATGGACGCGGATAATTATTCCGAGCGAGCAACCTGATATCCTGATTAGGGGACCACGGCGATCGATATAATGCATTAGACGGTGTACAGTTAATTGAGAAGCGACGGGATCTCATCGATCACTCGAGTCGGATCGAGGACGAGCGCGGGTGAATCGAAGAACTTCCAAGCGTGTCAGCGTTAACCAGAATATACCAGAGCAGCTAAGACTCGAGGCTCGAGGAAGCTCATTTCCGCCTCGTTTTTTCTCTCATCGAAACTTTCAACGCGATGCAAACGATTCGAGGAGAAGTCGTCGATTTTGGACCGCTTTGTTTTACATCCAAGACCCTCTGAATTCGATCTCATCTTCTGGCACTCAGAGCTACGAGTACTCTGAACCACTTTCGATAAAATCGTACAGAGCACTCTATCGGTAAGAGTTGGAAACGTAGAACGCTAGGTTGGTAAAGCCGGTCGTTTTGATGGCAATGTAGAACGCTAGGTCGATAAAATTGATCACTCCAACGATAATGCAGCCTGCTCTATAGATAAATCGGTCTCCAATACTGGAAAACTACGAAACTTCCAACTACTAGAATCGACTACCGATATCAATCTTCCTCGAATCTTCCTTGTGGCCGAGTCTCCACTTATAGGAGAGGGCTACCGATCGACAGGCGTGTTATTTTCTTTTTAACCGTGGCTCGAGCGAATTATCGACCAGAATGTAGGACGAATCTGCAACTGGAAACGAAATCGCGTCGTCCGGTACACAAACCCATTTCGTAACGCTTTCCTCGTGAATGGAGAACGGAGACGGGTAGTTAACGATCGCGGAGGCTCGTGAAATGCGAACGACAGCGATCGAGAAACGCAAATTTTAATTATCTAAATTTATCGCCGAGCCGGCGAGCCGAGCATCCGTGCTCGCACATGTCAACGATTTATTTTTGAAACGAGCTATGTCCGCTACCGCCTCCCGAATAATTGTAACAGTGTCTCTAGCGCTTGGCCCTGTTTTTACAAGCGGAGACGAGCCTAATTTGTCTCGGGACGCGCGGAGAAACGTTCGCGATCTGGAACGCGGAAGAATAACGAACATTCCATTTCGCGATTTCTTTATTATTTTTCCGATACAAACGCGATTATCTCGCTGGGATAAAAATTTATCCTTGGAGGCTGAAGCTTCTCGATGAAAACAAAAAAGGAAGAGTTTGGTAGGTTTGATAGTTTCGGAGATAAAAATTCATAAGTGCAGGCCTGTCTTCGAAAATAGGAAAAATCGTGATACGTTGAAGTTCTATTTTTATATATATATATAAACAAATTCGAAATCAACAAACCGATTACTTAAACTGCGATATACTTTAATTACATCGAAATCCTCGGCTTGGTATATATGTATATATGGGTCATTTTGAGGTTATCCGTATAGTTGGGTGGAAGAATGATCGGACAGAACTAATCGTGTGACATTTCCTGACATTAAACTGTAACCTGTTGTGTCGACACTAGGTTTAGAGCCTGTGAAGGTTGCTTTGCAGACAATGGGAATCGTAACCCGAAGGTTATTCTTTTAGAGACCTTTAAGTCCTTTACAGATAATAATCGTTTGGAAATTGTATTGCCAAATTATTTTGACATATGTATCAATTTTGTCGGTCACGAATATTTTTGAGTACCCACGAAATATTCAAACATTAATATTCTCGAATACTGACTCCAAAAGGTCACGATATTCGTGCTCCAAAAAGGCCAACGATTCCCATAAAACCTCAGAAGTCCAAGGGCGTTAAAAGGTAGCGCCAGTGTCGAGTAATAAATCGTCCAGAAAAGGGCACCGAGATCTACGGACTTTAGAGATATCTATGAACTTAGGGCTTCTCCTCGATGCTTCGATCTTCGCGCTGGAAACGGAACGAATCGCTCGCAAGTTCATTTCCATCGTAGTTTACGCGACCGCGCCTCCGTTTGCGCAGCGCCTACGCCTATGGGCGTCGATAATTTACGCAATAAAAGCGAACGGGTTGCGGCGTCGACGGGCCGAGCTCGTTGGCGTATTTTCGATTGTCGTTTCGCCGCATAAAATCGCACGGGCGTCGTGGCAGCGATAAACTTTCTTATCGATTTACGGGAGCCCGATGGGAAGCATAGTTCGCTTGATTTATAAGGCGCGACTCCCAATGGCGTTTGAGAGACGCTAGCGCGTCGATCGTGTGTTGAATTGAAGGTTTTGCCTTGTTTATTTCTTTCATGTTTAAAGTTTCTCTTGAGCTGGGGTGTAGGTTGAGAGATGGAGGTAATTGAAGGCAGATGTTGAAAACGTTCGACAAAGTTCGGATAGATGTGTCTCAGGTCGCCAGCGGCTGCGAACGTTCGGCAGGGTTCGAACACATGTGCCAACGTTCGACAAAGTTCGAGTAGATGTATCTCAGGTCGCCAGCGGGTGGGAACATTAGTCAGAGTTCGACCACCTGTGCCAACTTTCGACAAAGTTTGAGTAGGTGTGTCTCAGGTCGCCGCTTGTATCAAGATTTGTCAGGATTCGAGCACATGTGCCAACGTTCGACAAAGTTCAAGTAGATGTGTCTCAGGTCGCCAGCTTGTATCAAGATTTGTCAGGATTCGAGCACATGTGCCAACGTTCGACAAAGTTCGATTAGATGTGTCTCAGGTCGCCAGCGCGTGCCAATATTCGACAGGGTTCGACCACATGTGCCATGTCTCTTCTTAGCTTCCTTAAAAACTTATATAACCTCTCCCATTGAACGTGTAGACTTTTGGCAATGAGAATTACCCTTTATGTGCAAGCAGAATCCTCTGATCCAACGCGTGCAGCTGTTTACCATAGAGCGTCGTTCTCGTTCCCCTCGTTCCTCCTCGTCGGTGCAGCACGTGCTGTTATTTATAGATTTATCAGTTGCCAAACACCAGCGGAAGTAAACCGAAAGTCTCTCAATCGCGAGATACGGTGGCTCTTCGTGGCCTTAATTCGCGGCTGCAATTCAGCGTCGATCGGCGCCGCAGCAGCGTAAGCGGTTCGCCGTCAAATCGCGCGGACCGAGCGAATTTTACGAGCGTATTGCGTTCCAGGGGCGACGATCGTCGCGAGCACGTGGCCCCTACTTGCGGCCTCGTTATTTGCCAAACACCGACGAGACGCTTCGTGTAGCTTCGTGTAAACTCTGCGCGATGCCAAACCCAGTCCAGAACTACCGCCTCCAACCGAATCCTCCTTCCACCTAAGCGATCACGCCCTGATCCCTGGTCGTCGCGTTATCCTCGCGATCATTGCGATCCTCGGATCGAAATCGGTCTCCCCAAATATAGGCACCTGGTTGCGCGCGACGCAGTCACGTCACGGAGGGTTAGGCCGAACGCACACGGGGGCAACCGATTTGAAATTAGTGTTGCAAACTGTTTGCCCTCTTTGTTTTACCTACTCCACTATCTTTGTTTTATCTATATCCACGGTCACATGCAACTACTTTCAGAGTGGTTTGAAACTAGTTGCATGCGACCGTGGATCCAATTCTTCAGTAGGTAAAACAAAGAGTGAAAACGGTTTGGAATACTAATTTCAAATCGGTTGCGCCGTGTACGATCGGCCTTAGTCTTTGATTTCCCCTTTCCATCATAAATATCAATTCCTATTACCAAGTGTCCAATAGGGAACTTAACATAGTGCCAACTCGGGAAATAAATATGTCGTTCGATTGGGAAAGATTTGCTTGCTGGTGCATCTTTAGTTGAGCATGATGAAAATAGTAGCAAATAAA